CGTGTAGTATCCGATTCCAGGAATACCAGCCATCAGCTCGTCCTTTGCGTTGCGTCTCTTCCAATGCGACGATGCTGTTCTTTCCCCACCCTCGTCCTCCAGCTCCATGCCGGTAGCACTCATGCAGTTGAAGTGCTCACGAGTCTTCTCCAACGTCTTGGGTGACGATACCTGAAGCACTTTTGCCTTGCCACGTACACCCTCAACCTTTTTCAACATATTGCGTTCTTCCATTATCTCCAGAGTAAACCCAATAGCATGTGCAATCTCATGTACCACAACACGGACACTGTATACCGAATCAGTGACAGAGCTCGGGCCATAATTCACCACACCAACAACAGGACGCCCATCGGCTAATTGAGAGCAAAAATTAGCCCACGCAAGAGTGGAACCCTTTGTCGGGCCAGCGGAGACATACAAGTACATGTCCGCACCAAAAACACCCACTGTGTGGTGAGAGCTGGGTATTGTAAACTGAGCGCATGTACCTGACGAGTACCATGGTACAATAACCCTGCCCGTGAGAGGTTCAACAAGGAGACGATCCGTGTGAATTTTAAGTGCTCGGGGAATAAGGGATTTTAATATGATGGACTTTTTTTCCTTCGTCAAAATATCCTTCTTCCGACACTTAGCAGTTCCCCCAATAAAGTCTGGACGAATCTGCCCCTCGGCGGTGCAGTATCTTGAGGGATCCTTCAGATCCTCCGTGAAGACTTGAAAGCGGATGGGCGCCCAATCGGGATCCGAGGCAGTCAGCGCCCGCATCATGCCACCTCCCCGAGTTGGCAGCTCTAGCACCACTGCTGTCGTCCGGGGGCCAACCTTTTTTTCAATTTCTTCGGAGATGCAGTGATGCTCAGCGACGGCAACAGAACCAGAGACGCAACAGAGCAGCGGCACCAGGAATAGCATAGTGTGACGCATCCTTGTGTGTGTTTTTTCTTCTGGGCCTTTCACAGCATAATTTTACTGCTTGTATGCTTGTCGATTGGATTACCTTGACAGAATAAATGAATGGATTGCATAACTGGTGCATTCTCAATAAAATACTGCATCAGTGAGTTATGGTAACTGCTGAAATACACATTGAATACAATATTACGAAGTTATATCGGCTTCTTCCACAATAAACAGGGTTACCTTCGTGAACGCCCGTCCATTTGTTTCACTGCGGTTGACCGGAAAATTCCCTCCGATCCATTGATAGCACTCCGCCTCTTCACTTTTTTTCCCGCTCTTGACATTTTCTTCGTTTTTTCCCCCGCTCTTACCAACATGTCTAGCCACACGATGCCATCTGAGTGCCGAAGAGGTGGTCGAGCAACGACAAAAGTTTCCTGCTATGAGGCAACTGCCATTGAGAGAACTTTCCGATGCGAAGGTCCTGTTCAATGCCCAGCCGTTGGCGCACAGCCAAGGTGCCTGGACATTCTAGAAGCAGATGGCGCAAGGTTTCCTGCGGGCCAATTGGCGTGCTTGTGGAACCTGGCTGATCCTGCGGCAGCAGAGATAGCCTCCTGGCACTGCTGTTTCGATGTTGTGTGGCGTCTGTGTTGTGTGCGCAGCGACTTCTGTGCGGTGCAGTGCTTCTCCGTGTGGGGAAAACCATGTCACAGAAATCACATTTGAGCTCGGGAAGCGGTGGAGGATGTTCCGGATGAAATGACCGACAGTAACTGACGAGACCCGAGAATCCCGTCAATGTAGAATCACAGTGCGGACATTTCTCCTTCCGACGGCGTGTGAGGGTCCGTCTCCTTACTGGAGAGACGTCTTCCTCCCTTGCCGTCGGGGGAACAGTGTCCGTCCCCGGTGCAGTTGGATCGTTGCTAGAGCGCATATATGCAGACTGTTCCGGTGAGATGTTGCAGAAACGGCATTGGTTCGTGCAATCTCTCACGGCCCAGTATAGTCGGCCCCAGAGCTCAGATCCCCGCACCTTGCCCTTGCGAGGTGAACCAGTTCCTGACGGTGAAGAACTTCCTGAGTGATCAGGTCCTTACCGCTGAGATCGGATGGCCTTGTGCCGCAAAGCAAGTAGCGATGCGTGTCTTGACGAATGGTACCACGCCACTTGTTGGTGAGCCGGGTAGTAAAACATGTCAGCAGATCCGTATGCCATAAAGGTGCGATTCCATGCTCCGTGTATTGTCCGGTTGCCATGGTCTGCGCCGCATACTGATCTGCAAGCTCGTTAGCATGTACTCCACAATGTCCGTAACAAAGCTGCAGGTGCACGGACCAGCCAGCACGCGTCAGTGTTAGGAGACGCTGTCAGATCTGATCCTCCGTCCAGTCTGTCTGACTGAGCGGGCCCTTGTTTAGAGCCGCTAGAAGAGACCGACTGTCCGTAACCACAAGCAGGGTCTTGTGTCTGTGCTCAATACAAGGGATAATCACCCTTTCCAGGGCCAGGAGCAGCGCACAGCACACACACACTCTCTCCAAGCAGCCCATATCATGTGGCATCACCGCACGGTAGCCTCATCGTGATGGGCAGCCCTGAAGCGTGGGTGCGAAGTGCCATCCGGAAGAACCTCCTTTCACCGTCGTTCTCTCGAGGTGCTCGACAACAGGCGCGCCGGCGGTGCGGTGATCATGACCGTTTCTTCCGCACTGCACCTCCAGCCACCCCATTGCGTTAAACTCGCCGTGTTCGCCGTTGCTCTCCCCACCGCCCCATCACCACGCCGGCTCTTCCAACACGGTGGATCGTAGCGTCGCCAAAAGCTGCCCCAAAAGCCAACACACCGGACCCATGGTGCGTTCTGTGACTCCCCCGCAGTGCCGAAAGTTCCTCCAGCAGCGCAAAAGCCGTCCGCCGTGTGCACGCCTCTTGCGTGCGGGAGGAAGTCCCTCTGCAGCACCTCCCAGGGGTTGCGGGCAACAACGTATACGCACGTGCGCTACGACCCGTCCCTCCGTGGCTAAGGGACCTGGCTCCAACCGCTTTTTGTTGTTTTTTCTCGTATTTTTTTCCTCATAAATTCGACGACCCGCACGCCGGCCACCATCGTCGAGCACGTCCGCCCTGCTGAGTGGAGACGTGAGGGAAAGCCCCGGCCCCCGGAGAGGCAGCTGCAGCGGAGGGCGTGAAACACGACCCTGTCACGCCTCCGCCCCGGGATAGCGCCGTGGCTCAATCATCCATTGCTGCCGATAATCAGCACAATAACAAAACCATAAATCAACCAACCAAATAATCGATGAATAATGGGAAGTGAGGAGGCGCCTGCCACCAGCATCAAAGTTACGTCGCATCTGCGAGGAGCTTCGTGCCTTCCCGCCGCGCAGAGGCACTGTTGGGGGGCAGAGCCTTTCCACCCCGAGAAGAGACTGCGCCAACCCTTTCGTGAGGCACAGCTTCCCCAATTTTCAAGTGTCCGCCTCATGTTTTGTCTAATTGCCGGCAGCGCCGGGCAGCGGAGTGGATGCGGACTTGCTTCCTTGCACAATTCACGTTCGCCGGTTTTCACGATTTCTG